AGTCACAGATTATTGAATTTGAATGAGAATATCAGCAAACAGTATTTTAATCTGAGTAGAACTCTTTTTTTCTTTGTTCTGTCAAATTTATTTTTAATCACTAACTTAGTTTATCTTCCATTTGAGCTCAGCACTGATCTTAAAATCATCCGAGAGGCGGGAAAGTGATTCCCTGGCTACTTTTAGGGAACAGCTTGTTCATCTTTGTCACATTGTCATGTGAAGAAAAGCCACGGGCCATTTCAACAGTCTCAGCCTGTCTGTCTGTGAATTATTAATTGAAAAGAAAGGCAGTGACATTTTTTACACTGTGCAAGAACAAGAGAGGGCGAGTTCTCACACAAAGTTTTTTTTTTCTTTTTTTTTCTTGTGTGCGGTGTTTATTTAAATATTTCTTCCCTGCAATAAAAAGTTAATGAGATACAGCAGGGATTTTTTTTATTTTAAATGCAGTAGAAAGGGCTCAGAGTTGCATGAGTGTTAGGAGCAAAACCTTTCTTTTTTTTCTGATTATGGTGCAAAGACATTCAGGAATAATTATGAATCACAACTATGATTCACTGAAGATTATTTACCATACTTTTTGTTTTTACAAGCTTYAGTTTCCCCTGTGTGGAAACAGTTGCAACTCACCTGAACAACGAACACCAAACGCTAAATTGTTTTGGAAAAAGTCACAGGTCGCGCTCACCGCCGACGAGCTTGAATAAGACAGACAGGCTGTTTGGCAGCTTAAAGGAAAAGCAGACCTCAGCCGAACAACACAATGAAGATCTCGACTCCCCAAGGTCACCACCGGCACCCACTGTTGCTCTTCACTTGATGCAGCCGGCACAATCTCCTGGTTACCACAGCAACTCCGACTGCAGGGCCGCCTGTAGTCAATCACCACATTACAAACACATGCACGCAGATGGTGAGCAGGGGGCCTGTGCACATGCAGACAAATAGTGAACCCCCCCCCCCTCCTTTTTTGTGTGGAAACCTAATCTTTCCTACTTTTGTTCCAACATGTTCAGGGGCACACACAATGAGAAACCTATGCCATCACACGGTTGTAACGGTCKTATCGCCGTTTTCTTGATGTGCATCTACCAAATGCTTGAACAGCAAAGCCTCTGGTTTCATTCAAATTTGTCTTCTTCTGTGAGTTTTAATAAAATCCCATAAAGAGGTTGGCCTAACAAATAGGATTTAAGGAATGGGTGTTGTGCATATAAAGGGCTTCAGGTGCAAGTAAATGTTTTTGTTCTCTGCAGATTTTATCTTTTTCTTTGTAGTTAGATATTTATAGGGCAAATAAAGGTGGTTCTTTGATAATACAAGGTTTTTCTTCTTTTCTGTATATTCCAAAGAGAGAAGAAAAATGAACTGATCTGATTATGAGCCGGCAAGCTCCAAGACAGAAGATGGATTTCAGGAGAATTTCATTGATATTTGTATTCTGCACACAAACCAGAAGTTTCAGGCTCTATTTTTTTGACTCAGTTTTACCACTTATACATTTGAAAGGTCACATCTCATTTTGCGTTGGGCTATAAGAAGCCTTATTACATTCCACCGCTTTTGTATTTATTTCTTTATTTATTGTTTGTCTTAAAAGCTCAATCAGTTCCATGCACTTGACTGAACAGGATTAAAATTAATGAAACTTGTTTCTTTTGGAGATGTAGCTGTAATTTTTGTTCGTTTTGTTTGTGCATTTGAGTCATGAAGTGCTAATTTCTGACTCATAAGTCAGCCATGTAATGAACGCCTTCTTGTTCTCCACTAAGGTCCTCACAATACACCCGAAAGAAAAGCAGCTCCAGCATTTCTAAAAATAATAATAATTTTAAAGAAAACTTTTTAATTATTTTTATTTAATGTATTTATACTTCTGTATCTAAATGTTAGTCCTCATCTTCACATCTTCACTATGGTCTAAATATAGATAATAAGAGGGGAAAAAAGAGTCTAATGACTTATTTGATTCATTAATTCTTTGCTTTTGTTTCTTCTCATCAAACCACCCCTGCTTCCTGTTATTGTCCCAGCATGAATGTCACAATGTTGAAGGTTAATGCTAAGTTAATTGGAAGCTAGCATGCTTTGAAACAGCGCTCCAAACCACATGACTTGAGAACAATAAGGGTGATACTTTCTTTTGGATCCCATCTCTGCTATTTTGATTCCCTGCTGTTTAAATCAATTAATCATCCATTAGTTTCCTGGCAGTCATGTGTCTGTCTCCAGACCAGCCACGGCTGATTCTAGTGGCCGGCAAGCAGTTTCCACTGTCGACGTCTGAATCATCAGACTGTGTCACATTCAACAGATTTGGTGTATCTGCCTGTCAGTGTGTTCATTTCGACTATGAATATGTTTAATTTTAAACTTTATTTCTACTTCTCAACCTTTCTTCTTTTGACAACTTACTGTTTGATATTTAGGAAAAGTGTGTTTAATGATTTTTTTGTTGTGGAAGAATAGGATTCACTGACAGATCTTCTGAAATCTCCTCATTAGGAAGCAGAATTGTCCATCTCTGTTCACAGTTTGCTGTTAAGTCATGCTGCTGTGAGACAGCCTTCTGGTTGTGAAGAGCCTGCTGGYCTTACTGATAAGCTGTTTTCAAACACTGTGAAAATCTTAGGTTAGACTGACTCTGCTGCTTGAAATTGTTTCAACTCTGAGATTTTCTGCTTGATATGCTTTTTAAGAAGTTGCTTAAAATCAACAAGGCTGGCTTTATATGTTTTTTTGATGAAATTTTTATCTTATTTTAAATTTAGGAAAGCAAAATATTATATTTATTTCCGCATTTGACATTTGGGAAGGCAGAGAAAATGACTGTTGGACTTTTTTCACTTAAAAAAAACAAATGTCTAAATTTTAGGTTACCATAATTATTAAAGTTTCATATTGTTTCTTAATTAAAATTAAAATAAAATGTCTATAATGAGAAAATAACTCTGTTGACTTTTGATTTTATTTGATGCCAAACTTCATTGTTGTCTTGTGTTGAGTTACTTTGGGAGGGAAAAAAAGGTGTTTACATTGCATAAATCAGACCAGGCAGTATCTGAGGGCAGCGAGGGTTCAGTTTGTCAACAGGATTTCAGCGCCAGCACCTCAGGGGTTTGTGATTGGCAGCACAACTTGAGACAGTTGGAGCAGCTGCTTCTAAAACAATCCCATTTTTTTAAGATTCAAACTCCCTCAGCTGTAAACTCACATTCTCTTCCAGGGTCAGAAATGGGAGTTGCGCTCAGCGTTTGAGACTGTGGCCCATCACTGAGATCTCTTTTCTCTGTTTGTTTCAGATATTCACTCGCTATGGGAAATGCTACACTTTTAATTCAGGCCAAGATGGACAACCTCTGCGGGTGACGACAAAGGGAGGGATGGGCAACGGCCTGGAGCTGATGCTGGATATCCAGCAGGATGAATACTTGCCCGTRTGGGGGGAAACTGGTGAGTTCACGTCACAGAAAAAGCCCCCACTTTTAAAGATCTGAACAGAAAACAAGATTTCCATTCCTGTTTACTCTTTTGAGAGGGTTTGAGTTAAGTTGCCAAAGCAGACAGCTGTATTAGCGAGAAAAAGGCTATCCCAGGGATTCCCCTCTAATCCACGAGACAGGGACTTGATCAGACTAGACTGCACCCACAGGCAGCTCTTTTGATGATATTGTCAGGCCTCAAAACCAATTATCACAGCCAACGAGTGCATGCTTTGGACCAAATGTGTCTGAAATTTGTTTTATTTGAAGAGATTAGAGATGCCCATAAACCTCATGTTATTTTCACTTGTAGTGCCATACAGTATATGTGCCATATGTCTTATTGTGTAGAGGTTTGGGGTGATGTTTGTAAAACCAATATAGATCCAAGAGTAATTAGATAAATAAATAATGATGGGTTTTTTGATTCCACAAACCCATTATTCTTAACTTCTTCTGTTTTAAATTTTAGTGATATAGTGTATTTAAGAACACTGGAGTTACTATATCGAGTAAGAGTTAATAGTCTTCCTGATGGTATTCAAAGATTTTTTTTTAAGTTATCGGAAAATAATTACAATTTAAGGGGGTTCTTTATTTTTGAAGTACATAAAGTAAGAACAAATATCAAATACAGATGTGTTTCAGTACTGGGTGTTAAATTGTGGAATAATTGAAATGATGAAATTAAGTTTAGTGGCTCTCTTTTAAGTTTCAAAAAGAAGTTAAAAAGTAAATTATGAGTTATGGTTTATAGTAGTCAGTTGTGATGACGGTGGTGGTAATATATTACATATTTTTTTGCATGTATGGACAATAATAATCATATTGTTGATAAAAAACTGCATTAATGATTTGCGTAGTTGAAGTATATGTGTGTGTTTTTTGTATATTTTGTTTTGGGGAATCCATTATGAATTGTAAGATGAGGCAAAACAAGCCATTGGCTTCTGCCTCTACCTATTTGGTCATATAGGGTTAAAGTTCTGTTTGTTTTTGTGTGAAGTGTTCTTTAATGTGACCAAATAAAATCATTCATTCATTCATTCATTCAAAAAAGATTATATTCAGTTTGGCACTGGCTTGAAAGGTGGCAGGGCATTATGCATGTTTTAGGAGATGCTAGCCTTTAATTCAAAATGTAACCTCTGCAAGATGTTATTGACTAATCTGTCTTAAAGACAGAAAGGTATAAATAATATAATATAATAATGATAAACCTCTTGTTTAATAAAATTGTATTACTTGTCCAGTTAGGCCTCAAAGATTCATGAACAAAGAAAAAAGGCACAACAGTTTGTAGAAAAAAAAGAAGAATCAATGGCAGCTAAAAGCACTTCAGGGTCAAACCCCCTCATCTGCAGAGTTTCCCCATCCTGCTTCAGGCAGATCCTGAATTTTGGATTTTTAATGCAGCTGTGCATGCCTCTGTGTGTCCATATCAAWATTTTATAGGCACTGAGAAATTAATGTGACAAAAAGACTGCACTCTCGGTCATTATTAAACTAAAGGCACAATGCAGGGAGCCGTCATCTGTACTACAATATTTAAATACAAGCCACAGCTACTCCACGCCTCTATGATTTAATTACTTCATTATTAAACACTCCTTATATAAGGTCATTAAATCACTGAGGGCTTTTACAAGAGGAGTGGCGAAAGTTGAGGGTGCAGGAAATATAATACGTTTATCTATTTAGACACACAAAATTATCCAATTTTAGTTTAGGTTTTTCCATAATATTTTTATCAATTAAAATTTTCATGTTATTTTTAAGGTTTGACTTTGATGTTTTGTATGTAAATGTTAAAAATTGGCATTTGATTTTTCCTGTAGTATTTATCACCTGTTTGTCAAGTCTGGCTTGTTGCCCTGAACTACTGTTGTGCCAGTTTAATTGCCTTGGGCTTCTTCTTTTACCAGCAAGTAAATCCGTGGTGTTGAACTCCGCGCAGTGATGAATCATAAAGCTCATTTCCTCCATCATGTTGTGCATCCACATTTATAAATACAAACACCCCCAGAATGCTAAATGTGGTCATTCACTGTAACGACGGGTGTGGAAGCTGCCAACGAGGGTCTGCTGTACGACTCAGAGGCAGAATCAAGGTCAGCAAGCAGGCTTTACTCACAAAGGTTCAGGATACGCAGCGAGACTTTCAGTGCATCAGGCAAACCGAATCCGACAAGGAGAAGACCAGGGCAAACGTAAACTGGCACGGTGGAAAAGGAACATGCAAAAAGATTTGAAACATACTGCAAACGTTTCTGYTAATGACTGCAGGAAAACACTGTAAAAATCCACTATCACCTTTTAAAAAGGGTCGCTCTAAAAGTGGATTTTTTTCCTSTTTACTTGCAAGACATTTCTGTTACAAATTAGGCTGTTTTTTAAGGAGACACGTGCCTTTTGAATCCTTCTTTTTCACATTTAAAGGGATCCACGATTAGTTGTAACATTAGACTTTATTTGATATATAAATATTTTAACTTTAAAATAAAGACTGTAAAAATATGTAAGCTGTTTAAGTTTAAAATGATAAAAACTAAAGTTTGAAAATATATTACATGGACGGGGCCATTCTATTTTTACGCAAAACATTCTGGGTAAGAAGATGGCAGAGGAGTAAGTAGTGGGTCGCGTGGGCTCCCGCTCCGACTTGTTCAGTTTGTGGTTCTCTACTAAATGTCCTTGCTGTTTTGAACATTTGGTCTTTCCGGACTCGACCCCTGAGTGATTCTTGCCTGGAAGAGTAGAAGAATGGCGACAAACTCGAGGAAAGGTAAACATTCTAGCTCAACGGCTGTTAGGCTCGACGCCGCCTCGGAGCAGACTGCAGCTAAAGCCGGACTTTCTGCGCCCCCCTCTCCCTCCTGCAGTGCGACGGACGCACTCTCCTTGAAGTCTGACATTCTTGCCGCTATAAAAACCGATCTCTCAGCTGTGATTAAATCCTAAATAAAAGCGGCTTTGGCTGAAGAGTTTACTCTTATCAAAGGGGAGCTACAAGCGGTGAGAGCTGAGGTGGCTAACGGCACGATGCTACTGCGCGCTGATCTGGACCATGTGAAACAGAGCGTTAAGGAGGTGGAGGGCGGTCTATTGACCTGGTCCAATGAGGTTGTTGCTTTGCGCACCACCGTGTTGGAACTGAAAGAAGAAGTCGTTGGGCTCAAAAAGAAGTGHGATGAAATTGAAGGGCGCATGAGAAGGTGCAATGTGCGGATTATTGGAGTTCCAGAGACGCCAGAATCCAGCTCCACTTCAGCAGTGGCTAAACTGCTAGCAGAGGTTCTACAGATGGATAAAGAGCCACTGGTGGACCGAGCTCATCGCTCTCCAGGTGGAAACAGGTCAGGCGGTAAGCCGCGGGTCATTGTTGCTAAGCTGCACTATTATCAAGAATGTGTGGAAATACTGCGTCGGGCTCGCAGTCATGGTCCTCTTCGTTTTAAAGAGACACCGATCATCATCACATCTGACTACACGGCGACTGTGGCCAAGGCTCAGGCGGCGTTTACGGAGGTGAGGAGGCTTCTTCGCAACCGACGAGATGTTCACTATGGCCTGCTTTTTCCTGCACGGCTTCGCATCTCTCATGGGGAGGAAAACAAGGAATTCCTGGATGCCAATAAAGCAATGGACTACGTTAAAAAAAGGATCATCTCGGCGTCGGACAACGAGGACCGGCATTGACTGCAGGTCCAACTCTCATCGCTCCATTATGACTGTCAGGTTGTAATGAACCTTCCAACTTTATGTCACGTGCTATATCTTGATTTAATTGTAGACTTTATTCTGAGGGACAACATTCCTCTTTTTGTTCTATGTACGAGAGTTTCACAGGGGGTCTGTCCAGATCTTGGTTAGTGATTTATTTATCAGTGCTGCAAGGAGCATAAACAGTAATAATACTTTAAAGTAAGGGAACCCACTTTTCTATTTTTTTATTATTGTTATTTAGTTGTGGTGGGAGTCCAGGCAGGGGAGTTAAGCCCCCCAGTCAAAGCACAAATGTGTGGACTTTTTGTTTGTTGGGTTCTCCGTGATTTTTTAGGAGAAAGGGGTGGGACTATACCAGATCTATTTGTTTTAAGAATGTCTTTTTCAGATTATTTTTTGTGATGGTTTGTGGATATMGTACTACAGTCCGATTGACCATACATGAGCAGTTCTAATATTACCAGGTTCATCAACAGTCACCCAGTAAACTGTGTGAGTTGGAATGTGAAATCCCTCAATGGTCCAGTGAAATTTAGGAAAGTTATGACACATTTAAGACAACTTAATGCTAATATTACTTTTTTGCAGGAGACCCATTTGCGTAAGGCAGACAGTGCAAATCTAAGCAGGCGCTGGTGTTTCAGGTGTCAGGTGTTTCAGTCTAACTTCCAATCTAAATCGAGAGGGGTGGCCATCTTAGTTAGTAAACAGGTGCAATTTACGG